CTTATCCAACAGCTGTAAACATTTAAAACCAACACAAGTCTCATTAAGTGTCCAATTTTAGGGTCTTACACACAGAAGTATACCACACAACATGAATCAAACATGTACTTCATTTATTTACATTAAATATCAAAAGTACATCAAAACTGATTGAAGCTAAGGGCATACAAAAACTATCCAACACCCGACTCTTTTAGTTCTTAGGGGCTGAACATCTAGTTAAACCAATAAAACCATGATACTTTGAGCTTACTGGATTTATGTCCAGGAGTCCGGCCCAGATCTAACAACACTGGACCCTGGCTTTTGAAACAACAAATTCGACTGTTCTAGATTTATTGGGTCTTTGCCCTGGCTGTAATCCTTGGCATGGTTTTGAAACTCGGACCAAACTGGATGGTCATACCGGTTAACAGAGGACACATGAACCAGTCAGGCAATTGGTTCTATTTCACCCTAAAATTATTCTTGGGCCAAAAACTGTTGGCTTGATCAGCGACCTACTAACTCAGGTGGTTGAACCATTGACTTATTGACTGAATAACGTTTTTTGACCTTCTTTTTTTATTTTCTAAATCAGAAAGGGTAATTCATTCTAATCGGATGATCATATTATATATTTAACCCAAAACCGATAACTAAATCAATTTCATGTCTAGTCCGGTTTTTAAAACCTTGGTCCTTGAGTTTGACTGCATAAAATGATATGACGATAATAATAGTGATGATGATAACGACGATAATGATAAAGAACAATAACCATGTCTTACGTATAAGAGATCAATCCCTTGTGGTGATGCATTTTTATTTAGAGTTCAGATTTGCGCCCCACAATGTCCCACAGCGCATCCCCATCTGATATTATCATCGGGAGATGTTTCCAGTACACGGCAGGATGCGCTGTGGGACATTGTGGGGCGCATATGTGAACTCCTTAGAAAATATTTTTTATGATCATGTTACATGTGACCCGAAATGAAGACACCAGTGATTGAAATATAAAATCAGTTGATGTGATTTCTTGAATTTATTGCAAACACCCGTCTGTTTGCACTTTTTTTAGGGCTCTCCAGATTGTCTTTCTGGCCCCATCACACAAAATGACGGCTCTTTTTTTACCATAGCTACATTGGATTTTGCTTGTTTATAAATCGTGGTTCAAATTTGTAAACCTCTTATAGCATTAAGACAGCTTTAGGTTTTATTTTGTTTTGGGTTTCTAACCGTTAAGGGCAATTTTTTGCCCTTAATATCAATAAAAATAATATATTTTATATAATAACAGAAATGATGTATCTTTTTTTGAAAAATATCAAATAAGGGCATTATCTTCCTCCTCTGTATTTGGCCGGCGAATGCCCTTATTTTTAACAGAAATGAGATACCCGCTTAAGCCCAATCATCTTAATGGCATTCTTCGGTAGCAATTAAGGGTTTAACGGAAAATTTAAGACGAACACGGTCAAATAAGGGCATTCTCATCTTGCTGGCGAAATGAGATATCTTAACGTCGATAACAACTTCTCTTTCAAGCGGAGAATGCTTGCTCCAGCTTCTTCAACCAACAGTTTCTGTGACTGTCACCCTGGTTTCTTCTTGAATTTTAAATTTAATCAGCCGGTGATAATGGCCTTGCTCCATTGAGTTCGCCCTTTGGCCGCGACAGTCAGGACTTGATCCGTTGCTTCGCGTACAGCTCGACCACGAGGTAGAGCTTTCGGTGCGACATCTACCTTTTGGAGACTTGAGCGAAGAGAAACAATGCATCGATTTACCTGAGAGTTCCGCTCCTAGACCGACAAATCCTCCTCTGGCGACGCCTGCTCCGCCTCATGGCCCGGCGTCCTTGCATTGACATCAGGATTCACTTGCTCACCTCAACCAGCTCTGCCTCCTCGACCTCAAATCCTTAGGAACAGAATTCACTTGCTCACTTCTCAAAAATAATGCAGTTAAGATGATTAGGCTTAACCGGAGGGCATTCGTTGGCCAAATACAAAGGAGGAAGAAGAATGCCCTTATTTGATAAATTTTAGAAAAAGATACCTCATTTCGATTATTATATAAAATATATTATTTTTTTAATATTAAGGATACAAAGTTGCCCTTATTGGTTAGAAAGCTTTTTGCTTTTACCTAAAACTTGATGAGAGATGTATTGTCACATCTTTCACATATGAAAGTCCTTTTTTCTAGAATGATTATTTCACCCGCCCCTCGAGCAAATATTGAACCCCACACATGCAATTTTGTAAGAGTTCAGCTTTGGACAGTGCCAGCCCGTGCGAACAGCCTTGTATCATATTCATGTGCTTTATTTTATGGATAAATATTCCTAATGCAAGGTTATAAAAGGCTGTGTGAATATGGACTTGCATTGACTGAAACCAAACTTATTTTTTAAAAAATATAACCGTTTCAACTTTTAATTATAAATAGCCTCAAATATTGTATCAGAAAAAATCTCAAATAAAAGTTATATATTAATTTGTATTTTTTTGGTAAATTATGCTAATTTGTATTAATCACCACAAAATGCATGAGGCAGAAACAACAATGGTGATTTAGGACATTAATGTGGTGTTCGGTAATATTGTATATTTTATTCTTTTGTTACGCCCTGAAGAAAAAAACAATGATTTACTCGAACATGAAAACAAGAAAGAAAGAAAGAAAACAAATAGAAGAACAAATGGATCGTAAATATGTGAATGTAATGTATCAGATATGATGACTGGAGTAAGAAATATTAGAGAGGGAAAATCTATAATTTAAAAAATGGTCCACTCCCAACGATCTCCATTGTCCTTTAATTTACGGTTATTATTCAGTCACCATTTAAAAAAATGGTCCTCTCTCTCTCTCTCTGTCTCCTTGAAACAAGCCAAAATTAATAACTCTCCACCTCATCATCACTCGTTTCTTTCCCTTTCGAATGAACAAAAAAAAAAAAAAAACACATAATACATCTCCTTCCTTCTTTTTCTCTTCTCTCTATAATAACAAACATCTATTACAATCAATCTGCTATAAATTTAAATTTCAAATTCGTTACAATTATAAATAACTATCCGTTGCACAACTATCTATAAACACAGAATAGAAGCTACCTGGATGAGTTGAGCCTTTCACTCGCAAGAGAACTCTCTAAAGCTTTTCTCCGCACTTTCATGGTATCGAAATTTCGTCAAGTCTCTCTCTCTTTCTATGGTCCACTAGCCATATCACCAACGACAGTAACAACTCTTCCAACCCTGCTACCTCTCCCCTCACCACTTCGAATCCACCCCAAATGTCTCCATCCCCCGATCCCCGTTCCGTTCCACCTCGAGTACTATCAACTGCGCCAGCTTCTCAAATCTTATCTTTTTCCGGCTTAACCACACCTCAGTCAGCAATTTGTGCTTTTAATTCTACATTTGAAACAACCTCAGATGATGATCCAGAGCTGGCTCCTCTCTTCACTCACCAAACCTGACTAGTAGTATTCAGCTTTCACAGTAGAAGTATATTCAAGATTTACTCTTTGGAACATTAGTCTGCAGCGAACCAGGTGTTAATAATATTCGGTCTTGTTTCATGGTTCTCAGAAATTAAAGCATTCTATTCTGTTACTTCAAGCTCAGACCATGGAATTCGAATATATACTGAAAGTCTTGCCATAGTTACCGTGGAGAATCCCATGGATTCAAATAAATGCGCTTCTGAACGAAACTTATTGTATGTAAATATATCCACTCCAACACTCTACTTCCTCACAAGTCAGAACAAATTCAGTTTTCTCTTTTCACGCCGTACCATGCATATATAAAATTGGATTTACATTTACTCTAAGAGTTCGCTTCATTTGAACGCAAGAACAAATAGCCAACATGGTGACAAAGAGTCTGGCTCTGGTCTCTCTGCACCTGGCTTAAATATTCCTCTGGACAAGCCCTACGGTTTACTAGTTGCCATCTCAACGTCTCACATTAAGGGTGTTAAGGATATATGACCGAGTCAACACGCATGAGATCCACAACTCGCCTCAAATTCACGTGGATATCAAACCTATGTTACAATCTATTGTAAATTTAAATTTCAAACTCCTCTCTGCACAACTGTAAATCCATCGCTACCCAACTGTACAATCCTCTATAAAAACATACATCCTACAAACACCTCCCTGAATGGGTTGAACCGAGTGTTGAGCCTTTCACTCATACACTCTAAAGCTTACCCTTTCTCCGCCCTCAGGCCGGCTCTCCTCGCCTGAAGTTTGCACGAAAGATTAAAGAAAAATGTCAAATGGGCTTCGCAGAAACCTCAATCTCTGCTTCTCAAAGCGAAAACGCCCACCCATGAGTCGATTCCCTTCGATCCCACACGCCTCCAAAGATCATAAACGCCCACCATCCATAACCTCTCCGCCGATCCTCGTGAACAACTTCAACTCCTTCTACGATCTCACCTCGGACTCCACCTCCAAATCACGCAGCCGCTCCAGCGACGATGACTTCTCTTCGTCGGATTCCGACCTCGACACCACCCCTGACTTTGCCACCATCTTTGCTTCACAGCGCTTCTTCTTCTCCTCCCCGGGCCGTTCAAACTCCATCTTTGAGTCGCCGGAGTGCCCGCCGGAATCGGACACACTCGTCGGTGGAGGCATCCCGATCCCTACGTACTCCCCTGACCCATTCAGGGATTTCAGAAGATCAATGCAGGAGATGGTCGAGGCACGAGAGCTCTTGGACGTCAAGGCCAACTGGGATTACTTGCACGAGCTGCTTCTTTGCTATCTTACGCTTAACCCCAAGCACACCCACAAATTCATCATTGGCGCTTTCGCTGATCTCCTCGTCAGTCTCATGATCGAGATGGAGGTCGGTGGTCGCCAGTAATCACGTCTCCGGCCGGTGTACTGTTTCACGGCGGTTGGTGTAATGTACCCTTCCTTTTTTTTTATGTGTACATATATTCTAGTTTTATATTCCTGCATTAACTCAACTGTTCACTGTTCAAGTGTTCATGTATTGCCTTCACTTTTATCTTTTTAATCTCCTGTACGAGATCCCAAGAGGGAATCCGGAATCGAGAGTCTAGAGAGATAATTATCAACTACCACCATGAAATACTGAGAAATTAAGCATTTGGATTTAAAACAAAGTTGATTAATTAAATCATGTCATTTAGTGTGATGTGTAGGGCCTAGATCAAATAACATTTAGGAATAATTTGATGAGATAAATATGACCTGTACAAGGAAATCGATGTAACAATTTGGTGGGTTGTGATCAAACTATTATTAAAATAGGTGGTGTCTCTGTGTGCACGTTGAAGGTTAGACATCCCAATCTTTTTTTTCCTGCATTTTGATGGGGTTCGTTATAATTAGGCTTTGGAAACAACGAGTAATGCCAAAGAGAAAATCTAAATCTTGTCCATGCTTCACCTTTAGCATCAGAAGATTCTTAATGGCCAGAGCTTAGTGCTCACAATGAATCAGAATAGGGCTGGATTGGATTTTGGACCTGGTTTTAGACAAGGTTGAGAGCAACAGAACCAGCTCGCCCGTATCCAAGGATGGGCTGTAAGCCTTTAGGTGTAGACATGAAGAGGGAAAGTGCAGAACTAGTGTTGGGTCTATAATGGCAACACATTAATTGATGATGAGGCAGTGATGAATTGGATACCCTCCAAAATACAAAGGTAGCTAATTTCAAATTCGAACAATGGTCCCGTAGAGGATAGACCATCTAATTATGAACATTTGTGTCCAAAACCTGAAGAACAGATTGGGGTTGGGCAAATGGGCTGGTCGGGTTAATAACTTCCATGCTTTTAGGGTTTAGGGTTCAGTTTTTCTGTGGGTACGACGATGCAACACTTCTACAGAGTACAGAGTCGGCATCATGTGGTCCAGCCGAACCGGACAAGACTGGCCCGCTTCACGGAGCAATTACTAAATATTGGTGGTAGTGGTGAACTGGTGATTGGTGTGGGCGGTTGAAATTGGTGAACAGTTACTACTTCAACCTCCCCAATCTCTACTTCTCATGAACCACACCCAGAAAACCTCTTATTCTCTTCACACATGTATACGGGGAAATATTTAATTTCAATGCACAGGGGTAGTGTATTGTGGATGGACGTGGGCAGAATTACTGTGGGTAGGAGATCCTGAGTCCTTCGGACCACTCTACGAAAGGTATAATAGGTGTTTGGCATCGGTGCTGGGCATGTAGGTTTGTAAATAGTTTTTGTTTGAAACCTGTGCTGCCATATATGCGTTTTCTGAGAAAACAGCACTGATTTTGTTTGATATGTACAAGTGCTTCAGCAAAGTTTTCAACATTAATTTATATTATCCAATACCCAAGATGATGCAACATTGATGCCACATCATTACATTGCTGGCAGCACTACGCCATACATTTTCTTAGAAAATATTTAATTTGGTGTTGCTCCATACCACACTTCCCTGATTTTTAAGACGTTTAGAGTAACATTTTTTTTCTAACAAAACGATACCAAACAAAGGACATTATTTAGAGCACCGCTGATGTGGCACCGTTTTCTCAAAAAAACGACATCCATGCCACTCACCTAGTCTCTATAAGCAAAAGATGAGAGAGAGAGAAAGAAAGAGAGAGAGAGAGAGAGAGAGCGCATTTAAAGAAGTTTATAAGTAGTTCGTCCAACTAAAAAGGTGGGTTTGGGCCCATGGATTAGTTGATCCAGCACCTACTTGCATTATGTGTGTCATGTACAACAGTGAATGCACCAGAACCTTACAACTCTTCTTAATTGCAATATCTCATCTGTCCTACACGATAAGACAAAGCACTCCCCTGTTATTAGTAGCTAATAATAGTGCCCTTTGCTTTGTGATAAGTTTCAACAGAAATAAGAAAACAAAAAATAAAAAGAAGCTCGTTGTTGTGATGATAAGTGTGGAAATGGCTAGTCATAAACCATTGGGTTAAATCTTCTCTCTTTTCCCATTCTCTGTCTTTTGGCCGGAGTTTGAGTTGGGGAGTAAAAACGAGGATCGTGAAATGAGTGTGAGTGTCTATGGACTGTAGGCCTGGCGAGACCAGTTTTACAAACTCCAGGTCTGCTGATAATTACCACTAATATTGGTGGGATCCATTGCTGGATCCCCAGTACGTACTCTGCATTTACAGGCTCCAACATGCATTTCCACTGGGGACCAGCAACGGATCCTGCAAATAGCTAATCAGCAGATCATGACGTAGTTTTACATAGACAATGTGCAGATTGTGAATAGTAAGTGAGATGGGTATATCGAATTTTAAATGCTCTATGAATTCAGACCATGCAAAAGCAAAACATTTGAAGGGGTCAAGCATAGGTTGCTTTCAGCCATACAAATAATAAATTCCTGATGAGACTAAACTAGTTTCTGTTGGGGTGTGTTTGGGGGTCGTTTGGAAAATTTAGACATCTAAAATCAGGTTGGGTTTGATTTTGTTAATGCAAATTTTTTTACTACATATATAATTAGTGTCTATGAACATAATATAAATTTTAGAAGAAAACTACTGACTTAGGGCAGTTAAGTTTTGATTCAAAATAGGTATTACCTTAGAGTTTTAATTAATCAATATGCAATCAAAAAGCATGCAAACTAACCACATATATGGGTTAACAGAAGCATAGTCCTAACCAACTATACACTCTTGCCAAGAGTCATTTATTGGCAACCATGCATGATCAACAATCCAAACAGAGTGAATCATAAGATTAGGTAACTATGATCCATACAAAAACAATGCCCAATAATAAAAAAGAAATAGAGTACGCTGATCAAAGGTCTACAAAAGTAGGGTTGCAAATGGATCGGTTGGAAAAGGTTCTACAAAATAGATTTGGGTAATAGCCAAATGTATTTTCAATTAATATCCATTATCCAATAGGTTTGTGAAACTTATACTTAAATTTGATACATTCATATATTCAGGTATATTCGGTTGTATTCAACTCAATAAGGCTGCATAAAATTGCTATCTGTGTACAAAATTAAATATAAAATAAGCAACTATATATATATATACACAAAACAGGTTTATCTAAATTCAAAATCCCACCTAGTTTAGTCCTGTAGGAATTTAAATCAAATTTTCACTTAGTTATAATGATAAAATCAAATCCTAGTCGATTAGATAAAAAAAAAATCTAAATTCAATCTAATTGAGCAATGCATCACATTTTCAAATCCGATCCATTCTGATTATGGTTAAACGGACATATGAATAATACAATTTAAAATTATTGGGCTATATCCTATTCATTTGCAAATCTGACTGATAAAATGGTGGGTTGGTGAGACAAATGTAGGTTAATAAATTGGGTTGAGTATCTGATTTGGTTAAGGATAGCCGAGTTGCCACCACTATTAGAAAACGTAATAAATATATATATATACCTATACTATATATACAAGTGTGAATGTGGTGTAGAAGTTTTTTGGAATAAAATTACTCTTTATTATTTTTTTTGTTTGAGAAAAGGGTATAACAATTATTTTATTATAGCTTTAATGTCAGCTTTAATAGCTAATATAATACCCATAGTTGTGTGTTTAATCTATCTTAAATGGATTCAAAATGTAGCTTCAATTATTACTTTCTAACTTATTTAATCTCCTCTAACTAAGTCTTATACTAAAGTATTAAATCACATTTCTCTTATTAAATCCCATATTTTTAAGTTATTTTTCACTAATAAATGCTACTAATTAGATCTATGTCAATATTTTTAATAGTATAAATTCATATATTTTAAAAATGACTAAAAAAAACCACTATTTATCAAAGTGGTGGTTAAGCAATTCAACCATCCGAATCAAATTGATCAATCTACGAAGTCTAGGTAATAAAATTTTTAAAATAGAAATAAATATAGAAAATTACAAAAAATTTAGAAAAATTAGACACATTTATGTAATCAAATTAAAAAAATAAGTGTAATAAACAATAATTATTTTTTTTTTGATAATGAAAATGAAATACATAATTTAGAATTGACTAAAAATAAAATATCAAAACTAATAATAAATAGTTCAACTTTTGGGTTAAATGTATTAAACTTTAATGCATAAATAAATAATAAAAATTAATAAAATATAAAGATACAAAAATAAAAACATACATTTTGCAAAGAAAGCATTCAGACATGTATATTATCATATATTTATCATATTAAACAAATAGTAAGCGTAAAATATTAGAATTAGTTTCACACACAAAAATACAAAAAACTATAGTAAAAATTGAACACATATATAATTCTATATTTACACTACTATTAAAAATATGAATAAGATTGTGGAATTTTCTTTTGACTAAAATACTCATTTTTGAATTTAATCCCTATTTAATTGTGAGGTTTAAATTATAAATTGAACTACTACTTTTCACCACATTCAATTCACTCTACTTAAATCTTACATTTTTTTTTTATAAATGAACAAAAAAAAGATACATAAAAAAACATTACAAAATGAAGGATCTAGCTAAGTAGTAAGGGTGCAAATGCATCAAATCATTATCCGTTTTGATCCTTTTTTTTGTTGAAATAAGATATCCCCAGTCCGGATCTTTGAATTGGATCGGGTCGGATAATAGGACCCGATCAGAAAACGGATCGAATTTGAATCGGATCGGATAATAGCTCCTTTGGATTTAATCTAATATGGTTAAAAAACCTCAAAAATAATGCATGCATGGATTGCACTTGGTTTGACTCAGCCCAATTACGAATGTTATAATGCATGCAACTTGAGTAGGTTGGGTCAAGATTAAAATCAACCCAAATCTAATCCAGAGTCTTAGACCTTAAGTTTAGGCTTAGATTAATTTAATTATGACTAAAAAAGTTAACTACAGATTAATTTAATTATAACTATAGTCTAATTTTATATTTTTATTGATCTTTAAGTATTTTAAATATTTAAGTGATATTTACAAAAAAATAAAACATTTAATCATTAATAAAGTAAAATAAAAAAATAGAACACTAACAAAAAATATAGAAAAATAATTATTTTATTAAGTATAGCAATAAAT